CTAACCTAACTTTTTCGGTTACCTAACCTAACCTATAAAGATAGGTTAGGTTAGGTAAGGTTGGTTAGGTTCGGTCATATATCTACGTTAATTTTAACTCCAATAAAAAAAATTGACCTCATTCATAATGAAATGGGTAGCTTTATCATTTCATAAGAAAAAAATTAGAGAAAATATAATAATTCAGGAAAACTTGGCTTATTAGGCAAATCGGCCCTTGCATAGTAGGCTGAGAAGTGCGTTCTGGCTACTAGGTACGACTTAAATATATATATATATATATATATATATATATATATATATATATATATATATATATATATATATATATATATATGCGGATAAGGTGTAATTTAGAGGCTGGATGGATAAGTGGATCGTTGGGAATACATAATGGGGTGGATGCAGGGATAGTTGGGTTGTGAGATGGGATGGGAGCAGGAGAGAGGTTGAATTGTGAGATAGAGTGGGTTCAGGGATAGTTGGGTTGTGAGATGGGACGGGTGAGATTAGAGATGAAATGAATAATCGGATAGGTGAGGTTGAAAGATGGGATGAATGTGGGAGTGTTTAGGGTCATCAATTGGAATTGATAAAAAGGAAGATATGATGTGTGATGGAGGGATTAGAGGACTGGTGGATGAGGGAGGATATAGAGGGAATGGCTGGGAAAGAGGGAGGGGAAAGGGAGGGGGAGGGGGATGAGGATGAGAGAATGGGACGGACTGGGAGTTGGAGTAGATCAGGGAATAGGGAAATGGGGCGAATAAGGGGATGGTAGGCTTTAGAGATGAGACGGAAGGAAGAATGGGACGGGTTCATAAAATTGGTGATAAGATAGATGGAGTTTAGAGATGTATGGATGTGAAGATGGGTGGGGGATGAGATGTAGGATAGATAAGTGGGAAGCGGGGGATGAAGGGGGTGAAAATTAAGATGGAAGGGGATAATAGTGTGGATGAGAGATGGGAGTCGATGAGAAGGGTGAGGGGAGAGGAGAGGTAAGATGGATTAAGGGATAGGTTAAGTTAGGGTATTTTTTAGATTAAGAGAAGGAACAGATTCGGAGATGAGTGAAGTCTGGGAGGTTGGTCGGAAACGGAGAGGGACTGGGTTGAGAACTGGTATGGAAAAGATAATAGCATAACAGGTTTGAGAGATCAAATCGATGAGAGGGTGGGTGGGAGTGTGAGAGATGGGAAGGATAGGAGAGCACAAGAAGCTATGAAGGTTGCATTAAGATATATAACAAAGTGTGGACAGGTAGAGTTGAAAGATGGGATGGAGGTGAGAATATGTTGATTTTATAGATAGAATGGAAGGGGTATAGGTGAGGTTAAGAGTTGTGATGAATGAGGAAGATGAGTATGGGTTGAAAGATGGAGTTAATGCCAGGGTGAGTTTGGCTCAGAGATAGGACAGATGAGAGGATTGGGGATTAAGAGAAGGAATGCATAACAGAATTAGCTTCTTTAAAGAGAGCTGATTGGTAGGGGTCAAGACCTGAAATGTATGAGGGGATTGGCTGGGTTGAGAAAAGGGATACATGTGGAGATGGGTGTTTTGAGAACTGGGAAGGATAAAGGAATTAAGATATGTTACGGGGTGCGGGAATGGGTAGTATGGGAGGTCGGAATGATGAGATAATAACGAGGCAAAGAGAGATGGGCTGTAGACAAGGATTGTTAGGATTGTGAGAAGGTGGCCTCCGGCCGACTTCTCAGCTACGCTCTCACATTTATTAGATGGTAGAAGAAAATGAATATTTCGACCTTAGAAAATTTCTGGGATGTGCACAAATGTGCCCAAAAAAAACTATCTCTCTTAATATAAGAGATAGGAGGTCGAAATTAAGTGTCTTTGGACTCCGTATGCCTTCAGCATTCCAAAGAACCAACCTCGCTGCTGCGGTACCAGTGTTTCAGCACATAGTTACAGGTTTTGCCTGAATTCTTGTAAGGTTGGCCCATAGCAACAAGGGGGAGAAGAGAGAGAGAGAGAGAGAGAGAGAAGGGAAGGGACTGTCTTCAGGTGGTTAACGGTTCCCTGATGATGACGTGACGCCACCAGCCGGCTTCATCATGATTGGGTCCGGCACGATGGGCCTTAGGCCCTCGCGCATAGCTGATTGGTCGAGCCTGGCACCAGGGAAAGCGTGTGCACCGGGCCAGCCCGCCAAAGGCTTGTATTCTGTGTTTGAACACCCAGCTGCTACGACGTGGGAAGTCCTGGTCTTGGCCAAGACCTAGGCCTATCCCGTCTATGTTACCGCTCAGCGAGCTAAATTTGACTCTATGCCGTCCCCCACTGCAGTTGCAGAATCCTACAGTAGCGGGGCGCCGCTAGAGGTCAATATAGCGAAGATACGAGGACTACCAACATAGCCGCCACACGTGTGATCCCACAGGTGCAACCAGACTGTGTTCAAGTGATCGCGTGTTTATCAGCTTCACCGAGTGCAAATCCGTCATTTCATTGTCCTCAGTAAACTGTGAAAAAAGAATTTGAAAAAAGGATTCTATGTGTTTGAGGGAGGATCGTGCTTAAATCTTCAATACTGGGACAGTGGACTTTGATTATTTTTCCCGTCCACGCCATTGCTCCCCAGAGCACCCTCAAATGGTACCCCCAAAGATATTCCAGCGCATGCATTCAGTCAGCCTTCAGCAAATATCACACTAGTGTGTAAACCGGGTGTATATTGTGTACGAGCCTTCCCCATTTATTGGTGGGGATGTTAAGCAAATCTCGACTTTAAGGTCACGCGCGCATGTGGCTTCATCCAACTGTAGCCGCCAGCCTGTCCACCTCACGCCTCGCCGCCTCCACAACCCATCCTCTTTAAAATAACGTCACTTTTGGCTCGTATGCGCACTGTGGCCAAATTTGGACGTAATTTGAAATGAAATCGACTCACGAAAGTGACGTACTGTCCCGTTTTCTGTTTGAGTCGTCCGGCCTACTCGGTAAGGTTACAAGAGGAAACTTTCAATTAACGTTTTTCATAAACGTTCTGAAACTTATGAGAATTTCCTGCCCAACCTAACCGATCAGAGGACCTTTAACTAACTGTTGTTGAAAAAAAAAATCCCAAATTTATTTAATTTTTTTTTCATTTTCAAATTACGTCCACTTTCGGCCATATGGACCAACGGCCCAAAAGCGACGTTGTTTTTAATTAAGAGGACAGGTTGGTGAGAGGTCTGTCCGTTGTTGTTTAAGTTATCAATCATCCACACTGGTCTAAGATTTCACATCTGACACCAGCGTGTGTCCGTTGTCGTTTCACTGTGCGTTATTGCTACTTGCCGCAGTCGTGTAGAGCTGCAATTACGTCTGGAGTGGTTGCCCACTTTGTTAAGATTAGTTAGGGTCAGCAGTATCGTGAGCGGTCCGAAGCAGTGATTCCGGTTAGCCTAACCTTGTCAAGTGCCACAACAGACATTAACATAACGTCAGATTATTCTTCCCATGTATCGTTAGTATTAAGCTGTTATGAATAAACTCTTTGTTGAACAACAAGTGCCTTTATGCCCACACCTTCAGAACCCTTGTACCCCGTACCGACTTTGCCATTCCTGTTTCATAAGTGATCAATTTGTCTGTTGTCTGGATTACTTGGACTCGAACCCTTTTCATGGCCATACTCATCAAATATAAATTTATTTGATGAAAAGGACCATATGAGCAACTTTGATGTCCACCCTCAGTGGTACCAGAAACTCCACGACTCAGTGGATAAGGAGTGTCAAGGATTTGGACTCCTGCAGCTGCTCTATGCATCTCTGATCAGTCATTAAAGTATAATTTATCCTCAGCATTGGTTTTTATGCTAGTTCAGTCCTTTGTGACTGAGGTCACATGTAATATTGTTGAGGTCACCTCTGGTGCCTACGTAGTGCGGTTCAATTATCATTTTGAGCACTACGAAGTGCCGTTCTGTCCAACAGATACTTGTAACCTATTAACCTCTCAAAAGGGATAATTTTACATGGAGTTAGAGATTGGAGTAATGAAATAGATGGGGTTAACAAATGAAATGGAAGCGGATATGTGTAGGGTTGAAAGATGTAAAACAAATGGGAATATGTGGGGGTGAAATTTGAATGCGGACATATCGGGGGATTTGAGATTGAAGGGCATGAGGGGGATGGGGGGGGGAATTAGTAATGGGTTGAATGAGGGGATGGGTGGGCTGAGAAATTATATGCAAGAAGGGATAGGATGGGTGAAGATGAGAGACAGGATAGATGAGTGACTGAAAGGAATTGAGAGACGAGATGGATGAGGAGATGACTTGGGTTGAGATAAAGGATGGAAGATGGGAAGGGCGTGGTTAAGTGACATAAGAGGTGGAGAGACAGCTGGCGCTGAGTGATGCGATGTATGAGATTAATGAGGTTGTTAGATGGTATGGAAGAGAGGAAGGTAGTGTGAGCTTTTGAATATATTAGGTGTTGGGTACCCAGTGGAAGCAAGTATGGGCGTGACTGAGAAATGGGATGAATGAAGGAACTGTTGGGTTTGAGAGATGGTGAGATGGGTATGGTTGAGATATGGGATGAATGAGGAGATGGATGGGGTTGAGAGATAGGATGGAAGCAGGAATGAAGGGGTGGATGTGAGATAGGATAAATGGATTTGAGAGGCGGAAATGTTGAAGGGGTAAGTAAGTGGTGTTGGTAATTGGGATGAAACAAGTCATGGTTAGAGTTACACATGGAACTGAAGAGGGAGCAGGAGGTGAGAAATGGTGTAGACAAAGGGATAAATGTGACTGTGAAGAAATGGATGAGGTAGTAGAGGCGGTTAAGAGATGGGAGTGAAGCAGAGTTGTGTTAGGTTGACAGATATGATTGAGCAGGAGATGGAAGGGGTTGAGACATCATATGGATGGTGACCTAGGAAGACTCGAAGTGGGCTTTGTTTGTTTTGAGTCTCAAATAACTTTACTGTTCAATAATCACTTCTAAGGAATTATTAATATATTAATAACTTACTGAACGCCGTTTTAGATTCGTTGAAGTGCTTGCCCCAGGTGAATTTGTTCCTTGAGGATTTTGTCCGAAGGAACTTTGCAGCGAAGTTGCAGTCTTTTGCTTCTTGGCCGTGTTAATAGGATCTGGAATTATACTTATTAATTAATGCACTTCCATCTACTCTCTAAGCAATACATTTTTGAATGACTGATCCCCATCATGTGAATGTTTTGTGATATCTTTACTGTAATAACTACTGCTAACTTATTAGCCACACAGGCCTTCTTACTGGCCATTTAATCGTCATACATTGGTCATTTATGTTATACTGACGATATATTGAACATATAATGACCTTTTCTGGTCATACTGACTATGTACCGACTGCATGCTTGTCTTGTAGAGACCATGTATAGTTAAAATACTAATTATCTATTAGACATATACTTTCTATATACTGATAATAATCTTTTTTTGTAATTTACTGGTCTTATACTGGTCACATAGTGGTCATATAGTGGATACTAACGACATTAATTGATCATATACTTTTATATAATGATTCTAAACTTTCCATATTAGATGACAATAGTCATCTATTAGCCATTGTCATTCCACAATTAGCACAAAGGAGACCCCCAAATACCTTCACAGAGGCTGCGGACTCACCATTGACCTTCCTAGGAAGTGGAGCTGAACCCGCCAATGAACGTCCCCCAGTACAACCGAGGAATATTGACCTGTATGCCAGGTCTTATAAGCTAAGATAGCCTACCTTATCGTCCACCCAGTGGCAACCTTTAATGAAATCTTACACAAACGGGGTCTTGAAACATTATATCCGAATCATAGAGGATGATGTGTACCCCCTACTGGTTTTCCCAGCAACTTACAGAATTACAAATTCTTGTTTGAGCTGTTGGGACCGTAACTATGGGAACTAAATCTGATTTTTTCGCATCAACAGGACTTATTTTTTGTAGTACAGTCAGTCAAAGACCTTCGAAGGCTCCCATACAAGCTCAAAAAGACAATTGCCTCTTTCCAGCCCCTACCATTCAATATATAAAAAAAACGATTATTGTCATTCTACAGTAAAGCATCAGGTAAACATCTTTGGTAAAGACAAGCGTTATGAAATTAGCTTAACCTTATATATTAATTTCATAAACTAGCTAAACATTGGAAACAAATACATACATATAAAATATTGCAAAACAAATGAAGAGCAGACAATTTTAAGCTTACTCCATTAGGCTTCTGCGACTTTACTGAAACTCAACTGTGTTACTCTAATTCTCTTGGTAGAAAAAACATATTAAATATTTATAACTCTATTAATAACTCACGCAAATAACTTACAAGAAACATAGCAATACGTCATATATAAACCATGTATATATTGTGGCATGTTTCCCCTGTGTTCATCAAGAGAAGTTTGGCTTCAGCTGGGTGTCCAGCACAAAGGGAACCCCAGTTGTGCAGACCTGACAACAGCCAAACACGCCCAGATGGAGTCACCCAGCAGCCATGGAGGGAAGGTAAACAGGTCGTATGGGATTACACCTGTGCATCTACATTGGCTGATACCTATTTACGTTACAGCTCAGCGGAGGAAGGTGGAGCAGCCACCTTCAGGGAGACCCAGAAAATCAACAAGTACAGAGACCTAGAACGTTGTTACAGGTTCGTGCCGATAGGCTCTGAGACTCTGGGCGCCTGGGGCAAATGTGTACTCAAAGTTTTTAAAGGATTTTGGTGAGGAACTCATTGGGAAAACTAGAGACCCACGAGCAGCCAGTTTCCTGTTCCAGCGCCTTAGTGTTGCAGTTCAGAGGGGAAATGCGTGCTGTATCCTGGGTACGCACCCAACCTCCGAGGAGCAGGACGAGGTTTTCGAACGCTGATTGTTTAAGTGTTATATATTTGTGTGTGTGTGTGTGTGTGTGTGTGTGTTCTCTGTAAACTGTAGCAATGCAATAAAATAAAACAAAACATACAAAAAAATAATAGGGGTAGTAGGAGAAGTAAAGAATAAAGTATTCAGTGAGAATCCACAAGATCTTCTCTGAATGCTCTTTGTTTTCTTCTTCGAGGATGTGGGTCTCTGCAATTGCACCAGAGGTGGTAACCCTAATATATATATATATATATATATATATATATATATATATATATATATATATATATATATATATATATATATATATATATGTCGTACCTAATAGCCAGAACGCACTTCTCAGCCTACTATTCAAGGCCCGATTTGCCTAATAAGCCAAGTTTTAATGAATTAATGTTTTTTCGTCTACCTAACCTACCTAACCTAACCTAACCTAGCTTTTTTTGGCTACCTAACCTAACCTTACCTATAAATATAGGTTAGGTTAGGTTAGGTAGGGTTGGTTAGGTTCGGTCATATATCTACGTTAATTTTAACTCCAATAAAAAAAAATTGACCTCATACATAGAGAAAAGGGTTGCTTTATCATTTCATAAGAAAAAAATTATAGTAAATATATTAATTCAGGAAAACTTGGCTTATTAGGCAAATCGGGCCTTGAATAGTAGGCTGAGAAGTGAGTTCTGGCTACTAGGTACGACATATATATATATATATATATATATATATATATATATATATATATATATATATATATATATATATATATATATATATATATATATATATATATATATAGATCTGTTAAATATGTAATTCAGTGATTTATTGAACAATCAATTACAGAAGGTGATTGTAGTGCTTATAAAATACTAATCTAAACTACTTTCTTCAATACATAACCACACAAATGTACGTCTGCCCTACATAAATAGTGTTCAGTTCAATTCAATTAATTTCTTTATTATGTTCGATGTGTCTTAACGCGGTGGGGTCAAGGAGGCTGGGTGGGAATGAGATGTAGGATAGATATATTGTGTAACTGAAAGGAACTTTCCAATATGGGTAGGCAAAGTGTTGTAGATGTGGATAACAAGTGATGTCGATGCGGATAACAAGTGTTGTAGATGCGGATAACAAGTGTTGTAGATGCGGATAACAAGTGTTGTAGATGCGGATAACAAGTGATGTCGATGCTTTTAAGAATGCAACTGATCATGATAATGAGCTAAATCCTCCTGACAGTGGGAACTGTAATGAAGATGTTGGAGACTATGATGTGAATACGGGTGCTGATAAAAGTGACTGGAAGGGACATAGCAGTGATGGAGATGATGAAAGTGATTTTGATACAGTCGCTCACAACCCAACTCACTTGGAATGTGAGTCTATATCGCAACCAGTGGTGCTTGTAGGTATAATGGAGACGTGGATGACCTCCTCGGCCAGCACACGCCACATCCCAGATGGTTCACCCTGAATGGTATTAGAGATCTGGTGACAGGCGAGGCGCTGCCGGAGGTGGAAAACAGCACCGTAATAAAGCTATTCAAACAGTATCAGAGTATAAATGATTCATGAAAATGCAGACTGCAAAAATAAAATAAAAATAAGTGGGTGTAATTTAGAGGCTGGATGGATAAGTGGATCGTTGGGAATACATAATGGGGTGGATGCAGGGATAGTTGGGTTGTGAGATGGGATGGGAGCAGGGAGAGTTGAATTGTGAGATAGAGTGGGTTCAGGGATAGTTGGGTTGTGAGATGGGACGGGTGAGATTAGAGATGAAATGAATAATCGGATAGGTGTGGTTGAAAGATGGGATGAATGTGGGAGTGTTTAGGGTCATCAATTGGAATTGATAAAAAGGAGGATATGATGTGTGATGGATGGATTAGAGGACTGGTGGAGATGAGGGATGGAAAATAAGAGGGAATGGCTGGGATTATAGATGGGATGGATGAGAGAATGGGACGGACTGGGAGTTGGAGTAGATCAGGGAATAGGGAGATGGGGCGAATAAGGGGATGGGTAGGCTTTAGAGATGAGACGGAAGGAAGAATGGGACGGGTTCATAAAATTGGTGATAAGATAGATGGAGTTTAGAGATGTATGGATGTGAAGATGGGTGGGGGATGAGATGTAGGATAGATAAGTGGGAAGCGGGGATGAATGGGGTGAAAATTAAGATGGAAGTGGATAATAGTGTGGATAAGAGATGGGATCGATGAGAAGGGTGGGATTGAGAGGTAAGATGGATTAAGGGAAAGGTTAAGTTAGGGTATTTTTTAGATTAAGAGAAGGAACAGATTCGGAGATGAGTGAAGTCTGGGAGGTTGGTCGGAAACGGAGAGGGACTGGGTTGAGAACTGGTATGGAAAAGATAATAGCATAACAGGTTTGAGAGATCAAATCGATGAGAGGGTGGGTGGAGTTGAGAGATGGGAAGGATAGGAGAGCAAAGAAGCTATGAAGGTTGCATTAAGATATATAACAAGTGTTGACAGGTAGAGTTGAAAGATGGGATGGAGGTGAGAATATGTTGATTTTATAGATAGAATGGAAGGGGTATAGGTGAGGTTAAGAGTTGTGATGAATGAGGAGATGAGTATGGGTTGAAAGATGGAGTTAATGCCAGGGTGAGTTTGGCTCAGAGATAGGACAGATGAGAGGATTGGGGGATTAAGAGAAGGAATGCATAACAGAATTAGCTTCTTTAAAAGAGCTGATTGGTAGGGGTCAAGACCTGAAATGTATGAGGGGATTGGCTGGGTTGAGAAAAGGGATACATGTGGAGATGGTTGTTTTGAGAACTGGGAAGGATAAAGGAATTAAGATATGTTACGGGTGCGGGAATGGGTAGTATGGGAGGTCGGAATGATGAGATAATAACGAGGCAATGAGAGATGGGCTGTAGACAAGGATTGTTAGGATTGTGAGAAGGTGGCCTCCGGCCGACTTCTCAGCTAGCTCACATTTATTAGATGGTAGAAGAAAATGAATATTTCGACCTTAGAAAATTTCTGGGATGTGCACAAATGTGCACAAAAAACTATCTCTCTTAATATAAGAGATAGGAGGTCGAAATTAAGTGTCTTTGGACTCCGTATGCCTTCAGCATTCCAAAGAACCAACCCTCGTTGCGGTACCAGTTTTCAGCACATAGTTACAGGTTTTGCCTGAATTCTTGTAAGGTTGGCCCATAGCAACAAGGGTGAGAGAGAGAGAGAGAGAGAGAAGGGAAGGGGACTGTCTTCAGGTGGTTAACGGTTCCCTGATGATGACGTGACGCCACCAGCCGGCT